AGCATATAACTGCACTCCCTCAAAGGACATCGCGAAGTTATCCCATAAAACTACCACTAGGCCTATACAGTCCAGCAGAGCTTAGCTCATCATTCATGCATGTGCCTAGGTTGAAGTTGGAAGCAAGCCTACCTGATATGACTCATATAAACCCTCTGGACTTTCAATGACGCAGCTTCTAAACTAAGCAAAGGGGCTTGTTGTGATAAATCATGGAGCTTTGACGATTCGAATACTACTACAACATTTAACGTAAAGCTATGCCGAAGAGACTACAAAGCCGCTTCTCCTGTACCCACAATCAGATCGCGGGCCTAGTGATGATTTATCTGCCATGGGTTCTTGTCCTCTTGCTGGTTTTCCAGCAGTCATCATTAAAAGCCCATGGAGACGCATAGCTACAGTGGCCAACTGCCTGAGTCGAAGAACTGAGATGGCAGCGAGACGATGGCGGTAGTGCTCGATGTAGCAAACAAGGAGGCGATTAACCCGGATCAAGTCACTGGCACGCAACAAGCCTCCGGAGGCAATGGCGTTGGCTGTGGCCTCCAATAGGTTATGAGCCTCGTCAAATATGACCACGGCATCTTCAAGATGGAGGCCAGCAGCCTTACGGGCAGAGGGCTGCAAAATGAGTGGATATGGAGCTAGTATTAGCTGTGCGAGTCGAAGGCCAGCTCGGTTTGCATAGTATGGACAGCTAAGTGAGGGCACCAAAGAGGACCTGTAATGAAATCAGATTTAAATTAAAAAAAAGCAAAGAAAGATATAAAAACAAATATGGTGTGGCCTTTGGTATGATCGCAGTCTCGTTTTGTTGCATAGAAGTTGTTTGATCCTGTTTAGGCAACTTGGTCATAATGGTAGGAAGACCTAGAGGAACGCACCTAGTCCGGAGTCCATAGTACGCATTACAATTTCCAGAGTCGGACCATGGACGTGGTACATTTCCAGACGTTTCACCGGCATCGCCAGTGAGCATTTCCATTCTTAGCACCACACTAAAACTTGTCAGAGACAAGTGAAGCCGATCCTTTAACCGGTTGTCCGCTAAACAATCGTGGTATCTCTCCTTCTGCTCTGGCTAATCACCAATTATATATCCTCTTATCATCCCTTCACTATCGAAATTTTTACTTGCTTATTTACATGTGGTATGGTATGTCCTTTTGAGCGGATTTCATGAGAACTCTCCACACCCCACACTGGCTTTTTCATCTCCTCACCTCCCTTTTTCCTTGTGTTGGGAATGTTAATCAGAGTCTGACATATTGCTCCGCAGTCCTCCTCCCATAAGTTTTATCACAGTTTCCCTTTTGCTATCTCCCTAGTTCATGTATTTCACTCGACCCCTGCTACCCTATATGTGCTATTCTAGGCTTTATTTCCCACACTCCGCCTCTAGGAGAATAATTTGAGGTTAGAGACCAAAAGTAATTCTCATGGTCAAGCCTTTACTTCATAGACCACATCTATGATCAAGCACATCTACTATAAGCCAACTAGCTCTATCATAGCCGTATCTATCATGCTTCTATTCAGTGACAAGTCTATTATTTCCTATGTCCTAGTCTCTTGTCTGCCAACCCACACATGTTGTGGTTCTATTTGTTTTGATTAGTTTCGATGTCCATGAAGCAAAGACGTGACTATGAGAATTACTCGGAGTCTTTAGCCTTAAGTTAGGCTCCTATAGACAGTGTGGGAAATAACGCCTCGAGTAGCACAGATAGGGTGGCAAGGGTCGAATAAAATACCTGAATACGGGAGATAGCAAGAGGGAGACTCTAATAAGACATATGGGAGGAGGACTGAGAAGCAATATGGCAGACTCTGATCAACATTCCCAGCACAAGAAAGAAGGAAGGTGAGGTGAGAAAGTCAGCGAAAGGTGTTGAGAGTTCCCAGGAAATCCGCTCAAAATGGCACACAACAACCCCATATGATAATGGTCAAGTTTGGCGTAGCCGTCTCAAGGGTGCAGGAGACAGATAAGCTATGGATAGTAAAGTAATTGAATAAAATCATGATAATAATGTATACGATTTCCTTTATAGTCCAAACAAAGTACTTAATGATAAACTAAAGACAATACCGCGAATGCTGTATATTGTGAAGGTGAAAAACAATATAAAAGCAAATAATGGAATGCTATTGCAAAGTTAAGTATCTAGTTAATCTTGCAAGCCATATAAAAAGAAAAGTTGGGTTTTGAGGAATTGTTAAGCCTACTTTCATTTCGAGTGAAAGTGTTGGGTAAAGAGATTCGAAGGTCGGTTCCACCAGAAGACGACGGCGGATTCCTCTTAACCAGCTGTCGATTGGCGTTACTGGAAGATTCATGCTGACGCTGTTTCCGAAGCAATCTCCTGCGATTCCGGTGAAAAGGTGCCAAGCTTTCGTCAATCATATGACGAACAGCATCAGGGTTTCGAGACTACCAGTAACTCAGTGTAATGAGATGTATTCACCCTATTTCGTGTAAGGTGATGAAG